AAGATCAATTTCCTCCACTGGTTCTTGAGGGGATAAGTTTTCTTGATTTTCTTCCATTATTGACTTTTGGCTTAATCCCCATGGGACAACTTGTTTTTCTGCTTCATTTTGAATTGTGGCCTCGAGACTCATGCATTCCCTAATATTGTGATCTTGAGAATCCCTAGCCTCAATGTTTTCATTGACCTTATGCTCAGATCCACTCTCTACTACATAGATGACTTGATCCTTATTGGTTGTCTATTGCACTTACCTAGAAGAACGCACTGATTTGATTGTTTTTCCCTGCTCTATTGTCTATTATAGCGATATTGTGAATCCTTGGTGGACCCGTATCTTCAAATATGATTAGACTTTTTTGTAAGTTTCTGTGTTATTCTAGCCTTTCCTAAGTTACAGCAACCAGTCTAAGGTTATCCGCGTTGTTGTCTTGAGAATCCCTTGCCACAAAGACTTAGGTGAGCTCATTCTCAAATTTATCTACTGATGAGCTTTATGGTTGACTGCTTCCCATGCACTAAGGCTATAGATGATCTTTTAGCTTGGGCAAGGTTTCCGGCTTTACTTGCCTCGATAAAATTAGCCTCAGACACTATTGAAGAGTCTGGAATTGTTTCTTTGTCTTTGTCATTGGCTCTCTTTTTATAACACTTACAATGCCTTTATAGATAAGGTCATGAGCTTTGTGCTTAAAAGTAAGGCATTCCTTGATGTCACAGGTATAATTTTGTTGTCATGCATTCCTTGATGTCACGGGTATAATTTTGTTGTCATCCCACCACTTTGATTTATCTTCGATGTATAGGGGATGAATCGAAAATGTAGCCAATTCCACAAGCTTATACTCAAGTAATTTCTTAAGGATGTCACTCATTGGCTCACACATTGGCTTGAACTCCCTAGGCATAGTATTATACGTCTATCACACACTTGAATGAGCCTTGGTTTCTTCTTGAGGTTCTATTGAAGAAGGGGAGGGCTTGGATGGACTTCTTGGCTTGTTGATCAAGTCAATCTCGCCATTATATGAGTTTTCAATCCTATTAACGTCTTGTGAGGATTTAGCTAATACTAGTTTTTTAATAGATCTAAAACTAACCGCACGTGCCTTTGTTCATTCATAAATTGTGACTCTCTCAAGCAGATACTCAAAACACTAGTGAGTTGCCCCTTGACTAAAAAATGTCATGTAATCTGGAGCAACATTTTCCAATGCAATGCTGGATTTCACGGGCTAGAGTAATGCACAATCAATGACCACGTGGCAGTATCCCTGAATTAAAGTTGACGAAGGATTCACAAGGCTTTTGTTTAGTGGCACTAAGCTCACTGAGGGTGCCAACAACAGTAGGAGGTGAATTGATTTTTTCTTGGGTTGCTTGTAGATTGTCCCTTATCAACACTCAATGCCATATCAAGGATCCTCCTAACAGGCTATGCCTGAGTTGGTTCGATCGATCGCCAAGGGTCGGGACCAAACAGATAAGCAATGACATGTGCCTATAGGTCACCATTCCCAAAAAACATCTTTTTGAATTGTGGCATGATGAATCTCATCTATAAATATTTGAGATTTCATAGGGCTCCTTTTACATATGCTCTAGGAGTCGAGAAATCACATATTCATATTCTCTCTAAAGAGCATTGAAGGTGCTTCATATTCACCTTCATATTGGCTAATTGAGTTGTTGGCAATAAGACAACTTGCTAGCTAGCTGGTTGCCTAACATAGAATAGTGAACCTGAGCTTGGGGCACGTGAGCCACCTAGACTGACTAATTTACTGGTAGACTCAGTTGCCCCAAAGTTTGAACTTGGGGAACCAGCTAGGTTAGGTAGAGTGGTTGTTGACTAGGCCATGTTGGGCTCACCCAAACTCATTAAGTCTCGCAATAGGGCTTGCAAAACTTGGTGTTCGCTAATGGAAGATTGGGAATGAGTCCCGAGCTATTATGGTGATTAGACCTGTAACCTTGGTTAGTCAGATCTATATGCCTCTGACCTAGGTTGGGTGATGAACTATAGTTGGGACCGCCCCTTTCTACGGTGTTAGACTTGAAGAGGGTACGAATCCCATGACTACTTCTAGATGATGCCATCCCTCGAGACAAGCATGGACTAGAGTGTTGATGGGTATAACCTAGCTAAGAACCTTATTCTTAATAATTGGTTCCTAGTTTAGATGACTAGCTAATTGTTGGCTATCAAGGTTAACCTCGTTTGATCTAGCTGGTTAGAACTGACTAAGGGTTTGAACTTCTGACCTACCCTACCTATGCTAACTCAATTGAATGGTATATCTCCCATTAGCCAAGTCTTGTAGGAAGGCCTGCACCTTAGGACTTGCTTGAAGCTGTCTCAGGTCAGGACCCTGATTCCTACTGGTAATAGGGTGGAAAGGTCGACTGCCCCTAGATCTATGTGAAGTATTGGCTTCTCATCAAGATTAGAATGGTAAAATGGGGACTGACAGCTAGGGTTAACTTGGCTGAGATAGGTTGACTCAAGGGTTTCAAAGATTTTGACATTGAAACTACCTTGGCCAAGCCAACCAAACATAAGACTAATCCCCAAATCTTGGAGGATTTCCGCTGGCCTAATCCCTTCACTATTCATAGTGCCATGCGTCCTGCAAACCTTGTGGTGCATAATTCCTCGACGATGGACATGAGGAATACTAGCTTAGAGACCTAGACTACTAGCTATGGTCCAACATCAGTTGAGACTAAGACTCACCCATATAGGTACTATTGGCCTTTATTTGTTACTGTAATAGAGAAATTAGAAAAACTAGAAACCTTAAAACAAAAAGTTTGAGAAAACAGGGCCTCCAAAAAGTTTCTTCACATCCAGAAACAGTGAAACCCCATGCGTTGCTGGGTTAGAAGACCCCAGCAATATGCATCACATCGTTGATGCTTTCTAAGACTTGGATGATTCCAGGCCCCAGGTTATTATGTTACTAGATTTCTTAGAAGTTGGCCCTGAGATTGAATTTCAGAACTATTTCTCGATGGATTATTATGCAAAATCAGGCTTGACATACCTCACAATGGGCACCAAACTATTTACAAGGAAATTTGAAGAGATCTCAAATGAAACCTCCTCGGATTTATACTTTATGATCAGTAAAGATCATGGGGATCAATCAAATTGTAGTTCAAAGATAGATCTTGATCTTGAAAATAAGAAAATAAGAAAACAGGAAACAAAATGAAGAAAAGGAAATAAACTAAAAATTAAAGAAAATAAAGATTTACTTCAAATCTGATCCCTCTGGCCCTGTGCCAAGAGTTGGTGGCCTGGAGGATTAGACTAGAGATTGAAATGCTTTCGTCCTCAACAATAGAGTTTTTCTTAAACGAGAATGACATAGGGCATGCGCATTCTAAGGTTTTGGTTTGCTTAGGGCATTATTTTCCTAAGGCTTTGAAGTATGGTTTTGAAACTGAGGTTTGATGATTGTAGAGAATTAGGATTTCTAGGGTTTGAATATCCTAAGTTAGGAATGACCTAGGGTAGTTTCTCTAGGTTTTGCTCTAGCCTAAAGGGTAGTTTCTCTAGGATTTGCTCTAGCCTAAAGGGTTTTCTCTTTAATTTCTAATAATCTTCTAGAATTTTTATATATGAATTATGGGATGCTAGGTGGGTTTATATCGACTCCAATAAGGTACTAATTTAGGAGTCCTATGTTTATCTCTGGGATTAGGCTTTTAGATTGGTTCTAATTCAGAGTCAAAATAGATTCCAAAACCATCCAGAAGGTCAATAGAAGTTCTCCAAGCAACATCACCAATTTCAAGAATTTTCTAGACTCTGCAAGTGCCAGTAACACATATTGTATCACTGGGCCCACTAGGCTGAGCGATACATCTCGCCTCGTTGTACCAAACCCCAGCTCCAAATGATTCTAGAGACCGTTCAATCCAATCTGGTGGCAGTTTGATTCGGTTTTGACGTGTTTTTGAGGTAACATTGGTTGTTTCTGAGGTTTCTATGTTGTTTTGAATAGATTTGGATCAATCCAAACAAATTCTAATCGGATTTAGTATTTTAAGTTGACTTGGTAATTTTCGTAAGGATTGGGGAGTACTGGCTGTAGTCAACCAGGCTACTATTGTCCCTAAAGATGTGGGTTATAAGGTTCTAAAAATTCCCTCAAGCCAAAAAAAAAAATGACGTGTCCACAAAAGAGGTTTCACATGTTATAAGCGGCATTAGCTCGACTCACTTCTTGGTCGATTTCTCTCAAACCCTGAGGTGTTTGGAGCTAAAATTTGACAAGCACACTCTTAATTTAATTGCCAAACATTTATATCATATATTGCAAGGCTCCTTCGGAGATTGAAGCGAATAGCGAACCACAAACGGCTTAAACTCCCATACCTCCACCAATATGGGATGTTTTTTTATGAAACTTCGGGAAAAATAATTACAACTCGAGTACGGAGTGAAAATGACCACGAATATTTAAAAAAAGGCCGAAATAACGAAGGAAATTGATCGTTTCCGAAGCCTAAAAGCTTCCAAGGGAATATCATTGATATTTTCCTCAAAAAACCAGAATAAACTTACCATTTTCAATGTAGACGAGACAAAAAGTTAGTTTTCCATTGATCTACCTTTCTAGTTTTCTACCCATATTGCATCCAAGCTCTCCATAACCCCAAGCCTCGATCATTTTAAGACTTGAGTTAGAAGCTCAAAGGGAGGGGCATGTAGACAAAGAAACCTGGTTTGGAGAGAGAGACCACCCTAAATTAAGCCTTAAGTTTCCTATCCCAAAGATAAAATCTAACCCTAATCTGTCCAAAACCTAGTCTTACCAAGCCAAACGAGGAGCCACTGCCAATTGGAACTGTGACATACATTCGTCATAAGTATTTTTGGTTATCATCTCGAAATTTTTAGTCCCATAAATATCTGAGTTTTGTGGATCAGACGACATCTTAATTCACTAAATATGGGAAATGTACTTGTATAATAAGAAAGCCTTGCAATAAGATATCCATGAGACGATTCATTCTTTGCTGCTAATAACCACAGTAAAGGTATCACATAAGTGTAATTCAGTCCATGCTACACAACCATGAATATAATAGTGTCACTCGAGCTCAGGCCGTACATACATTCATGTTGTAGAATTTCGCAGACCATACTGAAAGTCCCCACACTACAGATTTAATGTAACAACACATCGTCCTTTCAGGGGAGAGCCTAACCTCCCTACAAGCACAATATTATACATCTAGGACATAAGATCAATATAAAAAAATACAACCAATAAATTAGACACACAATTCACATGTATAACGAGGGGAGGTTTATTTTTTTTCTCGTTTTTTCTTTTAGGGTATGGAGAGAGAGAACTGCCGACACCAACCTGCGTCGCACTGACACATTTGTCAGTTACAATGAAGATGATAGACACCACGTAGGAGTTCGCTGCAATAATGAGTAAATAGAATTTGGGTGTACCATAAACGGTGGAAAAATGCAATCAAACCCTCATTTGGCTATGTGCCTGATATCCAGGGCCTTTAGCTTGAAGAGCATCCGACATCATGCGTAACCGGCTGGCAATCTCAGTGAAAGAGGGGCGACCTGCAGGATCTGGGGCCCAGCACTGCTCCATTAGTCTCCTCCACTCGGGGTCGCACCAGCCGGGTACCGGTGGCCGAAGCGTATTATTTACAATGCCTCCTGCATTAGGGAATTTTTGCATTATGAGAGTTACACTACCCAAAAAACTTTGACAGAGAGAGAGAGAAAGGAAGGTGCTTTTAGTGTCACCAAGCATACATACCGATAATTGCCCCATAATGCATATGTGCGTAAGGTTCCTCACCAGTAAGGATTTCCCACATGACGATGCCAAATGAGAATACATCCACCTGCCACCACCAAGAAAGGATAAGGACTCAAATATCATTATTAGGAATCTTATGTATTTTGAAAAATGTCTTGGAAATACCTTGTAGACATTATAGAAAAAATATATAAATAGGAAATTTCACGGATTAGAGATACATCATAACACCAAGCAGTGATTAAAATTCCGACTCGTGATTCGCCTGAGTCGGCCCACATTGGGACCCTGGCTGTTCTGGACGGTGAAGCCCAAATATCAGTGAGCCTCCCAAGCCTAGCGTACCTTTCGGTATTTCTAATGAAAATTGGCTGAGTCAGACGTTATACCCAACCTCTGACTTGGCCAATTCTGTGACTGATTCTGACTCAGGACCCTTGCGAGTCTGAGCCCGAGTCCGTATCTTTAAACACCGATACAAAGAAGCAGAACCATATAGAGCAGTATTCCTTTCAGAACTTCAAAGGATCCAAAGCACACCTTCTCAGAAACCTTACTACTGCTTCCATTTAACAGTTCTGGAGCCATCCAAGGAAGGGTTCCCCTAACACCACCAGAAACCAGGGTATTTGCTTTAATTTTTGACAAGCCAAAATCACCAACCTGCACGAAGGATACAGTTTAATTGTTCTTTCAGGAGTGTCAAAACTATGGTTTATTAGTGTACTCATTCCATTGGAATCCTCACTACCATCAATTGGATGGCGATGAAGAAAGAACGGGACCCACCAATGGGATCATGCCCTGCTCTGGTGAGTCCAACTCTCTCTCCATTGTTCGCCATATTATAGAAAGTTAATGACATAAACGTGTATGGGTGAACCACAGTCAATTGGATTATGTAGTATTTTCTTCATGAGATATTGTTCACAACTATTCACACAGAAGTTCTGCCTGCCTTTACCTTACAAATGGGGCGGTGAGGATCTCTCATGTTCACCAGCAAGTTGTCACACTTCAAATCAAAATGCACAATATTCTTAGAATGTAGGTATTCCATTCCAAAAGCTGCATCCATTGCAATTATAAGCCTTTTTCGCCGATCGAGAGCCCTAACACAGAATCAAGGGAAATTGAAAATTGGAACGAATAGAACAAAAGAATGATATGCTTGAACAAAAGATGGATACTTCACTACCTATCCTTCCTTAGCAAGACATGCCTTAAAGAACCATTCACCATGAACTCAGTTACAGTTGCCAATGTTCCACCGGGTCCGTCATGTACAACACCATAGAATGCAACTACATTAGGATGGTGAAGTTTTGATAGAATAGCGGCTTCCCTCCAAAAGTCCTGGGTCTGGAAAGTAGCCCCAAATGTAAAGATTAACAAAGAAGCATTTTCTAAACAGAACCCAAGCAACAGTCATCAGATAAGAAGAGAGAACCGAAACTTCACAAATGAACCAGACAGATAAAAGCTATATGGATAGTCACCAATCGCTCTTGTTCGGATGATCGGCCAGTAAAACAGCTCTTTTTTATCCGCTTAATAGCAACATCAGTGCCTCTCCATTTCCCGTGATAAACTGTCCCAAATGTGCCTGAACCCAGTTCACGCAGCTCCTCGAGATCTGAGTTCTTTATTATCTGCATATGGACAGTGAAAATAAACATCAGAGTGAGAAATTTCATGGATCATGGTGCATAAAAATGAGTGCGCTAAATAGTCCAAAGAAACAATGAGCACAAAACACCATTAACTACTCAACGACTTTTCAATAATCATGACAATAATGAGAATATTATTCCGCTCACTTAAAAAGCTTGTATTCAGAGAGTTTTCTTTCTTTCTTTTTTAAGCTGTTACAAGTACTATATTAAAGAAGAGTATGTTTATAAGACAAAGGGGGAGGGTAGAGACCACCCACTAGACGGGGGTTCTAGTCCAAGAAATAGACTATCCACATAGTGGTGGCCACACAAAAATTGGGTATAACCCAGTACATATGCACATGAAAATACAAATATGCATTGATCCATATGGGCTTCCCAAAAATCAAGTAGCACTAGAAAAAGCTCTATTTTTAGCTAGGGCATCGCTTGGGCTTTGGATTCCCACCAGATATGCCTCCATGAGGAGACCATCGATGCCTCCATGAGACGACCATATCCCTGCAAAGGTGGGCAATCTGGTCAAAAGTCGGTGGTAGGATCCATGGCCAAGGTGAGGAGCCAGACGCCCAAGAGATGAAAATTTGAGCACCGCCTTTGATGATCAGCGGTTGACCCCAAAGAGGGTCAAAAAGTTTGACGCCCGTGAGGAGGGCCATGGATTCTAACGGTGAGTCGGCGTGGCCCAAATGGGTAGAGTAGGAGACCAAGTAAGGCTGAGGTGCTTCCTGAAGATGCCTCCAACACCTGCCAGTCCAGAGTTGCCTAAGGATCCCCCATCAAAGTTGAGCTTGGTCTGACCCATGGTGACCATATGGTGGACCGAGAAGTACGAGGAAGGCTAGGGATTTCCAGTTTAGGATGAAGGTTGAGGAGGGGAAGCCCTTGAACATCTTGTGATTCGAGGCCCAAAAAATAACCGAGGAAGTGATTTTGTGAAAGAATGTCGGGGTCAAACTTTTGTCACCTCTGAAAATACTTGAATTTCTTTCGGTCCAGAGGACCCACACTGTGGCTGCTACCGATGCTTGCCACAACATCCTACATGCTTTAGGCCAAGGGCTGGTGACGTTCTATAAAGGGCCGGGATGGATGGAGGGGTAACCCATGGCCATTCGAAGAGTTGGAGTAGCAAACCCCAAAGGTTCTGGGCCAAATGGCAGTGGAGAAAGAGGTGGGGGTTGCTTTCTTCTGCAGTTAGACACATAGAGAAACTGATGGGAATGCCCCTCTGTTGCAAGTGGTCGACCGTAAGGGTTTTTTCAGAGAGAGCCATCTAGTTGAAAGCTTGAATTTTGGGGGGGGCGATGGAAGACCATGCCAGGGCCACAACAGAGGTTGGGGGATGAGGGAAGGTAGGAGGCAAGAGCAAGTGCTTGTAAAATGAAGAAACGGATAATGAATCGCAGGGGGAGGGGATCCAAACAATTTGATCCGAGCCACTGATGTCCAGGAATGAGGAGTGGAGGAGAGTGGATAGGTTGATGAAGTCAGAAGTCTCAGTTTCGCTGTGGGAATCTTTTGAAAGAGGGAGTCCAGGCTCTAGAGGAGCTCAAGGGGGTATTGCTTCAGCAACTGTGGAGTTTTGGTTGAGAGAGAGGGAGAAGACTAGAAGAGGGATGGAAACAGGTCTCTAAGGGGGATGTGTCCCAGCCATAGATCCGACGAGAAGCAAATGCGCTGTGCCTCTCGAGGACGGAACCAAATTAGGCATTGAAAGGAGGTAAGGGATGACAAAAAGGACTTCCAGGCACGTGAAATTCTACTGGAGGGTCTAGGAGTGGGGAGCCAAGAATTGGGGTCAAAACAGTATTACACCAAATGACTAGGATCCATAGTAGATTATCTTGGGTTGCCAGTCGCCAGTACCATTTTCCCAACAACACCATATTTTTGTTTCTTAATTGCCAGATTCCTGTGCCCCCAAGGTGCAGAAAGCTCGTAGAATGTGTATATCATAAATGAAAGCACAAAAGAGAGAACCAAATGGAGAAGTATACAATGAGACCATTTACCTTTGGTTATAACGTGGTCACAATTAATCTTGACCATTGGATGTGAAATTGGATGGCTACATTTATTCCATTGACCACGCTTAAGCTTCAAAAAGAAATTTTCTTGAACTTTGTGACAAGCCTAAGCTATTAGATTTCATATCGATGGTTATAAGCAATTGTGTCCTCCTTGTAACAAAGGTAAATGATCTCATTGTATAAAATCCCTAACCAAATTCCTAGAAAAAGCAAGCAGTATGGGCATTCATGGCTTCTGGCACATGTCTGACCAACTTATCAATAAATCACCAAGAAGCAGAACTGAGACAATTTGCATTTAGAAAACAAAACTCATTGATAAAGGATTAGTGGAAGAAAGAAGAAATTAGGGCCTTTTGGTTGAAAGAAAATCAACATAAAATGGGTAGCAAAGATTATTCAACAGAGAAAATAAGGTGATCGGAAGCGGCATTGCGGACTGGACTCACGACTCACCTGAGTCAAATAGGCTTTGCAACCCTTTGAACGTCACGCTTCACCCGAGACATACCATTTTATGTCCCTTTCATAGTAGAATCAATCTAGTCCAACCAAAAGTTGACTTCATATGACTCGGTCCGGGACCAGGCCAGGTCCCAAGATGAGTTTGAGTTTAAAATCATTGGACACATTAATCCAGCTGAATTTCACGATAAACCATCCAGGAAAAGAAATCAAAAGTCTTTTATTAGGCAACCAGAGCCCCAGCTCCAGCCACAACATTCAGATGAAACTATAATTGTTCATTAGTGCAAGTTGATTCTCCATACTTCAATCAAACTGAAACCAACATGGAATACAGTTATCTAAAAACAGCAACAATCAATGCTCATTCCTTATCAGCTGTCTGACGAAGCCAAGCAAGTGGACCAGAAGCAAATGCTTCTCTAATCCATGAATTATAAAACATTTGAATCAACTTACTGATAGGAAGGATGGACTTAAAATGAATCTCGGGATGCAATGTTTCCAGACACTTCTAGATGATGTCGTGGATCAAGGGGCGAACCAGCAATGGCAAGTACAAGTAACTGATCACAAATAAAGGAGGAGCAATGCTAAAGATGTGTGTGTGTGTGTGCACACACGAGAGAGGGAGAATAAAGAGAGCGAGAGAGAAAGAGAGAGTTGGCACACCAGCAACATAGATGGTTGAGAAGACCATAGTTGTCAAGATCTCTCAACCAAAGCGGTGATCCTGCCTCGGAATCTCGCTCCATCACTCAAGGAAAGGGATCTTCAAGAGATCTCGATTTTATAATTTTTGGGATCTCAATCCTTATTGTTAAGTATCTCGATTCCCACCATTAGGGATCTCAATCATTGGCTTAAAAATTAAGATAACAACCAAACAGATGATTTTTTTAAATCTATAGCTAACTATCAATACAACAACACTTTCATTTTAGTTACACTGTTTGCTGGTTATAAATAAAGAGATCCCTACTTTAAAGAGTATTCGTAGTCCAAAACTATAATGTTGGATATAAAACCTAGCTCCTTTAGTGTATACTTTTTCAAAATTTTATTCAAGAGGGAACTAATACAACTACTGAAAAAAACCATAAGAAAACAAAAGTACAGCAAAGGAGAACTAATACAACTACCGAAAATTCTGGTAAAGGAAGCATTACAACAAGAAAATGTGTGCTCAATACAAAATTGAGCACCACACAATTTCCATTACATCACATGCACTTTCACATACATCAAGGATTCAATCCAATTGCTTTCCTTCATTTTATACAACTAATACAAACTGATATTAAAACTCAATTGGGAAAGGACTAACCATGGAAAGCCATGTATAGAATTCATTTGCTCGACCTTACCCCCCTAAGACTAATATACCCCAAGTATGATCTCCACCTTTGATAGCACGCGTTCCAGGAATCTCCTCACACCTCAAATATGGGAAGCCAACCAATAAAGCAATCTTATACAATAACAGGTCTCCCTAGAAATGCTTGGATCAGTAGGCACACAAATGATAATGGAGATCTAGCATGGACATAGCAATTATGACCAATTGATGCATGGTATGTGCATTATATGGAAGAGCTGCTATATGCATGGTGTAGAATTATTAAATTGGCCATGAATCTCATGAAATTCAACTTTTAAGTTGTTGTAATTGATATTAGAACATGGGCTACAGCAAGATAATGGAGGCTCAAAATTTACACATAGGCATGGGGTGTTAATAAGAGCGTAGACTGGTAGTACAATGTGGACTATCAAATTGACATGATATACTCTACAAAATTGAGCCCCAAAGATCGAAGGGATGGGAATACCTTGATGCAAATCCAAGATGAGGCCAAGGTTACAGCAACCTGGAAGGTCCTTGGCACACCATTAATGGTGGAATGTGGCATGGTTGAAGATGAGCTCCATAGGGTTGAAATGAGGGAGAAGGGATATATAGTCGTGAATCTCACTTTGGACCATGGCCATGGAAACCATGGCCAGGGAAGCTTCAATCCTCACACTCTCTCTAACTGGACAGCATATCAATGGGATGGATATGAGTGACCAAATGAGGGGGTGAGGCCCTCTATTTATAGTAGTGGGAGAGGAGCATGTAAAAGCTTATTGGGAGGAGGAATGAGCCCTTGATCATGGAGATCAATGGGGGGAGAGAGGCTTGGACTAAAGCACTTCATCAATGTCTAGCTATCATAGATCAAAGGCGGAAAATTAACACTATTGCAAACTCAAATTTGCCTCCTAAATTTAAATTTCATATCCAATTTGAAGTTTTTTAAATACCTTCATTACCCATCAAAATGGTTTTGATCAAGAGAGTAAGTACTCAAGAAGGTGAGGTGTGCCCCTTAGATAAAATTCTTCTCTCATATCAAATGAAATGAGAGGGGTTAAGGGAAGATACTCTTTCTAGTTTAACTAACTTTGCATGTGGGACAAATGAGTGATAAGTGT